ACTTAGAGGGTTTTTTTGTTGTTGTTTTTGCTGCAATATGTTTTATTACATTTAGCTCGCCTACATTGGTGATACAAATATTGATCAGTGCTAAAGTAACAGCTGTCAAATAAAAGCCTCACCTAGTATGAGAAGGATGAGGGCGGTAAGGAATAAGGCTGAGCGGTAAATGATGACCAGCTGATACTCTGATATGGAGCTGTTCTGCTGCTGATGACCTGAAACAGAGGATGGAGGGAAATGTGGAAAAGATGAAGATGAACTGAGAATCTAAAACATACAAAAAACACACGGAGAAGTTAAATTCAGAAACTTTGATGAAGTCAGGAAGAGATGATACTAGCACGCTGTTCCAGTCACTTTCTTAAATACTCATGTGAATATCCAACAAGAATCACTTCAGAATTTCATCAAATTATTTTTGCAAGTCTTTCTTAGAAAAGCAAACTTTACAATTTTTTAAATAAGAAAAAACTTCTGCTTACATGACACAACATGGAACGTGCTGATAAAATGAATGTCCTTTTTTCTGATGCCACAGAAGTAAAGCCTGCAGTCCTCTGCTGTCAAGCTTTTAATCACGAGTTTGTTTCCCAGGATTGAAAATTTGGTTTCAAAACCAGGAGAGTATAAAGGAGGGCCATTTGAAGAATGACTGCGTCCAATATATCCTTTGAATTGGGTGTAGATCTCCATGTACCAGTATGTGTCTGGTGTCTGATTGGAGCAGGTTAGAGTGACATTGGTCCCCAGCTCTCCTCTGACCTCGGTCACGTTCTCGGCCTCTGCACAGAGCAGAAGCACCAGCAGGATCATCCACAGGAGAACCATGATCAGCTTCAGCATCCACAACAAGACGGAGTCGTCTGAAAGCAGCTCAGCTCTCATGGACTCTGACGTCCTCTACACTTCCTGCCCCAAATGCTGACTTCAGCCTATATGACACCTGATAAAATACCACAAGTACCAAGTACCTCACAGGAAGTCCAACTTGTGCACCTTCACTTTGAACATTGCTGGATAGGTTAATATGAGAGACTTCCTGCTGCTTTCTGATTAATTTATGTTTTTAATTAATACAGAGCAAAGTATGCAATGTATAAAATAAATCTGTTTTTGCAAAGAATTACTTTTATTGGAATTTTATTAAATATCTCAGCAGTGACCCCTACAGGCAGGAGAAGGCAGTGTATGAGTGTATGGATAGAGCATATAGTTTTCCCATATGATGGAACAAATATATAAACTGTGATAGTAGATAATAATATTTATTTATATTTAGTACAGGAATTACAAGTTTTTCAAGTGTTGTGATTTCCACAGCGTGTTTGAAAGACAATCTCTTTTTGTTTTTGCATTAATTTCAGAAGCATGAATCCATGATACCTCCCAGTTCAATACTGGGCATGTGCAGAGGTTTTCTTCTTCTTCTGTTTGGTTAAATGGCCGTTTACTCCCCAGTGTACGAGGATATTGCCACCTACTGACCGAGCGAATGAGCCCTATTGTAAACTGAATTAGTGTCATTACAAATATGTGTTAAATTTGATTTAGTGATAGTCGAGTGTGTTTATGCTTGTCTGTGTGGAGAGGACTGTTGGAATAGTGATGATGATGTCCGCCATCACTGTCATTTGCCAGTAAACACTTAATCTGGTTGATTATGATAAACATGTGTTGTAGTTCTCCAGAGGCCTGGTAATGAACTAATCATTTGATTCAGGTGTGTTGACCCAGGGTGATATCTAAAACCTGCTCTAATGTATTTAGTAAACAATATTACACAGCAGTATTATAATTTGAATTAATAAACATCAGAGTCAAAGATGATCATCATGTTTATATTTATTGTTAATTTAGGACTTCTTTGTGTTAGTGAAGGTTGTGTAAAAGCGTGCTATAGAAATAAACGTTGACTTGTCTTCATCTTTGGTCTCCAAACGGTTACTGCAGAGAAAACTCAAACAAGAAGCCGCGCTGAACTCGAGCTTCTGTTTCACAGTGAAACAAATCAAAGAAGACAAGTTAATGAAAAAGTAACAGCAGTCACACAAGAACAAAAAGGATCTAAATCCCAAACTTGAGCTTTGAGTTTCCCAGTCAAACCTAGCTTTGAAGCACATGTTAAAAGCACTTTTACTAATGTACTTTTCGTAAAAAGATAACATACTCAAAATATTAACTCATAGGACAGTCTGTGGAGTTCAACTCCACTTTGTTGTATAGGTTAGTTTAGTCTGTACAACACAACAGTAAGCATTTATGTTTACAGAAAGGTTTAAATAAACTTGATGTTATAAAGGTGAGTCAGCTTTGATGTACTGGTGGGACTTACACCCTGAAGTTTGAATTCTTGGACTTTGAAAGGTTATTTTGCATTATGTTTGGGTTTTAGTTTTATTGGTAACTTGTTTTCTCATGTCCTTCCTTATTACCTTGTTTATTTAGTTCCTAAGTTCAGTGCCTGTTAATTTCCATCAGTATTTTGTTCATGGTTTATTAAGGGTTCTTGCTTATATTGTTTTCCTTCCCTGTTGTGTGTCACGATTGGTTGCAGGGACTCAAATGCAGAGCAGGTTGTCAGTTCCAAACACAGAGTTTATTTACAACACCAAGTGCAGAATATATACAGTGGAGGGGAAATCGGGGGTTCCAAGGGTCCAAGACAAGGTCCATGGAAAAACTCTCTTGCACTTGTTCTCTTCTCCTAACTCCAACACACACATGTCCACACAGCGAGAAGGTCACAGGAGGAAAACTATCACACAGGAAAGGCAGGTTACACAAAATCACAAGTCTCGCAGAAGAGCTGAGAGGATCACTAACATGTCTCGCACAACCATCCAGCGACGAGAAGGTCTGCATCCCGTCCTTAAATGGTAGGCACATAATGGCACATAACAGCGAACAGGTGTGTGGGCCAAGGGTGAGAGCCCGCAGTGAGCTCCGCCCAGGCAGAGCGGCGAAGGAGAGAGAGAGAGCAACACAAAACACATGTAGCCTTGTGGGGCCGGCTGGGCAGACAGGGGGACCATGGCAGTGTGTTTGTTTTTCTGTGTGACGTTTGAGTGTCTTAGCGTTTGTCTCTTTGATTAGTAACTTCCTGCTTTACTTTGGGGGTGAGTTTTCTCCTGTGTGTGCATGACTCATTTGATTTGTACAAACATTGATCAGTGCTTAATGTGTTTGAGTTGTGCAGCAGCAGCTGTTGGCTCTACTAATGTTAAATGAATAAATAACCACATATGACAGCAGTAATGACGAAGACTGAGCAGTACATGATGAGGAGCTGATGCTCTGATGTGGAACTGCTCTGCTGCTGATGGTCTGACTCAGCGGATGAGAGCAATCTGTGAAAAAAGAACAACAAGATAATCTGAAAGATAGATGGTGCATATATAGATACGTGTGTATACTTCCCACATGAAATAACTTCCTTTATTTATTGCTTTATTGATACAGTCTTCACCAGTGGTTGTTAGTTACCATAAACATATGTCAGTGTTTTTCTTCTTTTTCTTTGCTTCTGTAGTTTTCAGTATTAAAGTAAAAAGCCTTGTCTTTACCTGAGACTTTGAATGGGGTGTAGATCTCCATGTACCAGTATATGTCTGGTGTCTGATATGAGCAGGTTAGAGTGACCTCTGACCCCAGCCCTGCTCTGACCTGGGTCACCTTCTCGGCCTCTGCACAGAGCAGAACCACCAACAGGATCATCCACAGGAGAACCATGATCAGCTTCAGCAACCACAACAAGACGGAGTTGTCTGAAAGCAGCTCAGCTCTGATGGACTCTGACGTCCTCTACACTTCCTGTCGCAAATGCTGACTTCAGCCGATATGACACCTGATAAAATACCACAAGTACCTCACAGGAAGTCCAACTTGTGGACCTTCACTGTGAACGCTGCTGGATAGGTTAATATGAGAGACTTTCTGTTGCTTTGTGATGAATTTTAATTATGGCACTGCCCGTACGGGACAATGTGTTGAATTTAACACTAACAAAGTCAATGTAGGTGTTATTAATTTTGAGCATTAATGGAACACAACTGGAGGGTGGCAGCTTGTCCACTGAGACACAGAAAGAGGAACAAGTTGGAGAGAAAAATATTTTTAATGAAGTCAGTTCAGTAGTCTTTGTCAAATATCAGAGTGATGTACGAAATAAACATCTGTTTGGAAAGAATGACTTATTTTTATTGGAATCCTATTAAAATGTTTCAGCAGTCTACAGGCAAGTGTAGCTATAGAACGTGTTCCTCCTTTATGTTGAAACAAATATATACAGTGTGATTGTAAATTAATTTACTCATTTATTTCAGGTATGTTCAGGTGTTGTCATTTGTACAGTTTGTTTGAAAGAAGACTTGTTTTTGGTTCTACATCTGTTTGATGGGGTGATTTTAATTCTGGAAGCATGAAGCTCTTTCCAATAACACCAAAGTCAAAACCTCCCAGTTAATAAATAATAGATGAATATTTAAATGACACAAAAGCGTTTTTACATGTCACAGAAGCTGTGTAATTTTACAATCCATCCACTCAAAAAAGGGTTCAATCAATTTCATTGATTTTCTTTAATTTAATCATATTTATCTAAATTGAATCCAGTTGCCTAAGTAACCATGTACAGTGGGATGCAAAAGTTTGGGCAACCTTGTTAATAGTCATTATTTTCCTGTATTAATCATTGGTTGTTACAATAGAAAATGTCAGTTAAATATATCATATAGGACAGCGGTCCCCAACCTTTTTTGAAAACCATACATTTCACACCTGAGCCTCAACTCTCCCGGCCCGGTACCAAACGACTCATGGACCGGGACAGGTCCGAGGCCCAGGGGTTGGGGACCGCTGATATAGGAGACACACACAGTGATATTTGAGAAGTGAAATGAAGTTTATTGGATTTACAGAAAGTGTGCAATAATTGTTTAAACAAAATCAGGCAGGTGCATAAATTTGGGCACTGTTGTCATTTTATTGATTTCAAAGCCTTTAGAACTAATTATTGGAACTCAAATTGGCTTGGTAAGCTCAGTGACCCCTGACCTACATACACAGGTGAATCCAATAATGAGAAAGAGTATTTAAGGGGGTCAATTGTAAGTTTCCCACCTCTTTTAATTTTCTCTGAAGTGTAGCTTCAGAGTATCGTAGTTAGTAGAGTAGTTCAATATGATATATTTAACTGAAACTTTTTATTGTAGCAACCAACAATATATACAGGAAAACAATGACTATTACCAAGGTTGCATCCCACTGTAAAGCATTTCCTCATATGTCACATGTCAATCTATTCTTTATTTTACTCTCATCTGTAATAATTTCACTCGCTAACTTTCAAATTAGACACCAGTTATTTTTGCTCATTCTTACTTGAACTGGTGGAAAGTTATTCATCACCTATTGCCACTGGCTGATGCATCACTTCCTGTGTGAACGCAGGAGAGATCGGCTACACAGACATCTTGAATCAGGATGTCTGATTGTGTGGTAGGCTGCTGGACAATGTGGGTAAAAGCAGATGAACAGTCAAAGCTGAATGATTCATGTATTCCAGTAATTCTTTTAAAAAAGTCTGAAATGCTAATTTAACTGAGTTTCCACGGAGTAACAGAAAAGGAGGCCACTGGGCTTTAGAGCCGCCTCAGTGTGAGTAGTTGTTTCTCAGGAAAGTGTATAATTAACTCAGGAAATCACTTCCTTTTTCACGCTTTGTTTTTACACTTTTAGACAAGCGTTGGACAAAAGAAGTATTTGTGCTAACAGAATTGTTAGCTAACTTACAGATACATAATATTATACTGCTTTAAAAACTACAAATGCTACTTCAATTACCCACAATCCTGTTTATTAGAGCTGCTTTTAGTACAACCGCAAAAATAGTCTTTAATGTATGTATTGCTAAGCAGTTTACATGCAATTCTATACGTACTACTACAAATACAATATGCTGTTGACATTACTGTTGACATTATATATGTTTGTACTTCAGTCACTATAGTTAGTCATGTGATACTGTTATAAATAGTGCTACCACATCCACTTAGTGCCTTGTGGATGCAGCCCTTAAAGTTTCAGACATGCTTTCAATTTTTAGCTTAAAGGGTTTCAGACTCTCTTAAGCTGCACTTCACATGTTCAAAGGGTTCCAGCTGACACTTGAAGCACATCACATTTTTATATGAAGTTTTACATCATAAGTACGCAGCTGTTTTCTTACAATCCTGATAATACACAAAATGTCAATTTATGTCCTGCAGTAGAAAAAATGCATGAAAATGTATTTTGGGGGTTAAATGTGAAACAATTCAAATTGTCCACAAAAGCAACATCTTTCAGCTTACGGGTAAAGAAGTCTTTCAGTGAGCTTTTGCCCGTTGGGACTGGATCACCTTGTTCTGAAATAAAACACAAGCAATGAGTACGGAGAAGAAGCAGTACAGTGGTGGAACTTTAAACAGTGGTAGTGTTGGTGCTGTAGTATTAGCAGTAGCAAACATAGAACAGTTATCAGAGATTAGGGTGGATGTGGCTCACCTTATACAATACGTCATTAAACTGCTCACATATCAGAGAGTACACATTTCACTCAGGGTGTACATGTAACAATTACTAAGTGAGACAAAAAAAATGCTGTATGAATATGTTTGAATGGAGAAACCCAGTGGTCTCAACTGTTAGCTTGTCCTTCAAATGTTGATTTGTCCCATTTTGAAACCTTGAAGTGATTATTTTCACTCTTGTCTCTGTTTTGTTTGTTTGTTTTTAATGGAGCTAGAAGTGACCACTGTAAACTCATCAGGCAAATGTTAACTGAGCTCAGAGATCAAGTGAGGAATAATTTCATAGGTCGAAAACAGGTTAATTTTCTCATAGAGATTTCTATAAAATCATATTTTTAACCAGAGGTGTTAAAAGCAAAAGGATCAATGTTATAAAATTTCTTTTGCATCTTTATTACACAATTTACTTTTAGATTTAACTATTACTACTACACTAACTATTACTATCAGGTCTTCTACAGTACTAGTTTTTGAACATTAGCGGTCACAGTATCAGTTTTATCGATGAGAGCAGTGGTTTGTTTACCTGCGCAGCCCTCAGTGTGTCTGTGTTCTCATAGATGTGAAGTGAAACATTATTCTTCTGGATCCTTCTGGATTTTCTCTTCAAACACAACACTGTAAAAACAGCACCTGCAACAGATCACTGAGTCACGTCACCATCAAACTCACAATTACACAAGATGTGTGGACTGGTCTGATAAATGTTTCTCAGTCACTTTACTTTAGTGTGATTATGTTCATTAGAAAAATGGCCAGGCTTCAGATAAACACTTATAGATTTGGTAGAGAGTCTGTTCAAGTGTCTTATCTATGATGGCTCACTTACCCAGTATTACAAAGACGACAACAGTAACAGAGACACAGATGATGATGAGCTGACTGAGTCTGCAGTCGATTTGGGGGTCGGTGATGTTTAGGGTGACATCTGACAAAAAAAGAGGAACGATGAGCTGAGAAACTGTTAGATTCACAAGTCATGACCTTTCTTTGCGTTTTCACTAGAGTAAAGCTCACACTTTAAAACTGTTTTTGAACTTTATTATTATTTAGAAGTGATCAACTATAAGCGTCAATAGTTAGCAAACAGTTTTGTAAAGCAGTGGATATGTACGTGTTATGTTTGTTTTTCTTGCTCATCAGGTTCAGATGATTGAGAGGTCTCATTGTCATTCTCACAGTGCACTGGAAGTTTTCATTTTTAAGTGTGCATGGTGAAGTGTTTTATTTTAAATCACCATCTTTTTTAAAGTTAAACAGGTTTTTAGTTTTTTTGTAACCAGATGTAACCAGATAAAGTGCAAATGAAACTAACCAGTGAGATTCAAAGACACAGCATCCAAACACGAGACAACTTCTTGGTTGGTAAACTTGTTACGTTATTTATTATCTCCTATCCTAATGTGGACTCAATCACCACCAACAACACCAAGGACACCTTGAGAGAATTTATTTTTTGTTTTTTAAAAGAGAGAAAATAGCTATGTGTACACATCGCATGCTAGACGCTTCCTTGAATTTGTGGTGAAAGTGAGTGTCACCAAATCAAGTGTTAGATATGTTCAGATCAACTACTTTAACCTTTAAAGTGGAAAGGTTAGAAAAGACAAAAAAGTAGTAGATGTGATAAACTGTGGATTCAGTAAATTTCCAGATGAGTGAATTCTGTTTAATTTAAGGACTTACTTTTTTTTTTTTTTTAAAGAATGTGTGTTTATTTACAATATGTTCACTGACTGCAGCATCTACACTGTTGAATGTTGACACTTCAAAGCTATGTTGATGAGTACTTTCTCTCATCAACATAGAAGGTAAGCACAGTAAAATGGAAATGACTTTTCCATCAGTAACACACCATCAGCTACGTATGCATATGCACATATGTATATTACCATTGATGCACCCTTTCCACTTACATAATAAATGAATTGGACCCTGAACTGGTTCCAAATTTAACCTTCTGAGTGTAACAGACAGATGCAAAAGAGCTACACATTAAAATTTTTAGAATATTTGTTTAATCGGCTCACTCAGCGAAGCTTCCTGCTGGCTTGTTCCCTCGAAGAGCTGATATAAAATGCTCAGCTGGTAAAAACGTGTTCCCTCACTTGTTTATCACCAACAACCATTCCCATTTGTGCTGCTCAGCGGTGTTCTGCCTTTGCACCCACCAAACATTATCAACTCAAATGAAACAAGGGGAGGTAACCAGATCTTAGAAATCAAATCCTAGAAAATGTTTAGACTTTATATGTCTTTAATTTATACTCTCACAAAGTTAACTCTGTGAGGTCGCCATCAATGACAGTTACCCTGACCTTTGGCCTTACTGCATCTGAATGAATGTGTTTTTTAGCTTTTAGAAACAGAACAAAGTCATAATAAAATAAAATAAATAAAAATGAGAAAATAAAATTTTCTCATAATGTTACCTGGTTGCACAGTGTTAGGAATACTTAGCTAAGGTACTTAGACTTTACAGTGTTAAATGTGCTCATGAAATTGTTCAGATCCCTCACATTACATGAGAACATAAGATATTGTGAAGCTTACAGTGCAAATAGGTGTAAAGAACCTTGCTTAAGACTAACATTATCACAGTCTGGAGCGTAAAAGGAGGGAGGACCCACAAAGTGTATTGTTGCTAAGTTTTGGATACAGGTGCAAAGACAAACTAGGCACAAGAAACAGGTGACAACTAACTAGCAAGGTAGAACAGGAAGTAACTTAGAGGATAACCACAGAGAGAGCTACACTGAATAAAAGAAACAATAAGGAAACTAATCACACAATAATAAACATGGATGGCAACTAGAACTTAAATGCAAAAGTCCAAATGTTCAAACAAACAAACAAACAAAAGAACATAGACTCACTTGAACATGACTGAGAACTCAACAGTCCAAATAACAGACACACACAAACACACAGGGAGGTTAAATAACACAGAACTAAAGGAACCACAAGTGAATGACCCTAATTAACCTTTAAAAGGAACAAGGACAAAAAAAGGACACGACAAACATCCTATTTAGAGGGGAAAAAGGCAAGTCGCATGGCTGAAATGCTCCTCCAGGCTCATATGTTCACTTGCTTTAACAGTCATTTTTAAACCCTTATGTTGCATCAGTGACACAATCCTCTAGTAGTTCTGACATCTGTTTGAAGACAGTAGCAAGCCCCTTGTATTGAGCATAATACGATAACAGCTAACACAAATGATCTCAGGAGATTGGCTGCAATTTACTGCTTTAGGAATCTGTAGTTTGTATCCTGTGAA